GGGCGCGCGGGCCCGCGGCTCGCTGGCTCGCTTTGCGCAGCACGGGGACGGTAACGCCGTTCTGGGCCTTAGGCTTAAAGCGCTGTGGGAACGGGGACGTTTGGAGAAATCTCCCCGAAAGAGCGCTGCGGTGCCTTTGACCAGCTAGGTGGCAGCACCGAACCGAGCCAGGCGGGTCTTAAAAAGCGAAGCGGGGTCGAACCCGTTAGTGCCTGGATGGAGGGGCGAGGGAAACCGCTCCCCCCCCCCCCCGGAAGAGAGCTACGCGGAGGAGCCTGTGGGGTCACCAGAAGCCGAGCTCGCTCTGGGCAGGGCGGGATGGCATCCGAGGGAGACTGTCCGCCTGCAAACCTCAGGACGAGCCACCTTTGTAAGCTCCTCCCTGGCATTGGGGGAAGGAGCAGCCCCCCCATTGCCAAGGCTGGATACTCCTGTCAGGCCACCACCCTGGCCCCAACGTGGCCCCCAGGGACCGGCCTCCCTGCGAATTCCGGCCTTTCACCCAACTGGCCCTCTGCCTCTCAGGGGTTCTCTGGGGACAGCCTCGCCTTCCATTCGCTCCTGAGTAGAAGGGACCAAGAGACCGTCGATGGTGTCTTCATTTATTGCCCTGCCCGAGACACCCCAAAGCACCCCTGGATTTCATGGGGCGAACCAGAGGGAGGTCCACTTCAGGAGGTCCACTTGGCCAGGTTCAGGACCTCTTCAGCCCACAAGTCGTCCTCCTGCAAAAGTCAGACGAGAAGGCAGCTTCGAATTACGCTATTCAGCAGCAGAGGCCAAGGTCACATACCGCCCTAAGCCGTCTCCGACGGAGGCTTTGCAAACCCACGGTGGCTCTTAAACTACGGTTTATGGCTGGATCGGTGGAACAGACTCAGCCGTTTGACCTTTGTTCGGTACACTGTGGGTGAGCAAACCGTAGTTTAGCGTGAGCAAATGTGGTCCTCGAGTGCCAGCGCTCGTTTCATGATTAATGCAATGTGCTTTTGGCACTGGGCAGCATTATTTTCTCGGCACTCTAGAACATTTTGTAACTGGCTTCGGTGGTTTTATAATTCTGTCGGATTTTATCATTGTGCCTCGTTTCTGTATTTTAAATGAGGTTTTAGTATTTAATAAAAAGATGGCACACAGATGTTTGAAATAAAATTAATTTTTACGGTGGATCCCTTGGGGGAATTCTGGCCTTGAATGCGGGCTCCAGGGCTTTGCTGGTGAGCCTCCTTCAGTTAAATTCCTTGTTTGCAGAGTTTTAAAAACCAGGCAGAGGCTTAATGCTTAACCAGGATAGTGAAGGAGCTAATGCCTCCATTTACACAACTTACTAAACTTAGTTTTAACCTTGATTTGTTTTTTCTGGTTTAGCATATTGTATATGCTAAAGTTGGTTGGGTTCGGGGTTCTCAAAGATTAGAGCCAAACAGCACGCTAAACCACAACTAAGCAAACCATATCGTGACTTTATGTGACTCAAGAAGCCATGTTAATTCTGTTTTGTGGATTATGGTTTTTTGACAAACCTGACACAAATTTTTGCTCCTTCCAGCTCTGGAGACAGCATCATTTCCTTGGGTTTTGTCTGAGAAAATACCCCTCTTGCTCTTAGAGGTACATGAAAAGGAAGAGGTTGAAGCAGTATCTGGTCTTGTTGACAGGCTTCCTTTTCGTTCCTTGTTCTTTGCTCTGCCAGAGACGTTAAGGTCTTCTGAATCCTCCTCCACGGGAACCCTCCTGTTTGCTAGTCTTCTCTTCTTTGTCTCGCTTATTTTACCAGAGTCTGAGCTGTCAAACAGAAGTCCTGCAGGACACAAACCAGAGGGCGGCCTCTTTGCTGCACGTGAAATCGCGCATTGAAATGCAGTCACAAGTGCATGACATGCGTGTACAGACACGAAGTGCACATCATAGCAGCTCTGTTAAGCAGGATACCAGGTGGCTGTACCTAAGCTGTTTTTAAGACACAAGACTTTTCCGCTGGAGCGTTTTTTATTTTTTATTTTGCTTTTGCAAGGCTCAACTTACTTGCTCAAGGAGGTGCACCTGTTTCACCTGGCATCCAGAGTCTGGGAAAGAAATTGTTCCCTACTGCTGTTTCTATTTGTTTTAGAACGCTCGCTGTTACTTTACTTGCTTTACTTTTTCCATGTTTTTGTTTTGATTCTTTTTACTGCTCGGGGAGGTCACCAGAGGATAGAATGCCTTTCACAGTAACAGATAAATAGAAGGGTTGCCTTTTTTCTAACTAGAGAATTTCACACTTACACTGCTAGCCAATAGCTGGTCAGTGAAGTGTCATTTTTCTATCTGAATAACCGCCCAGAGTTGCTCTTGAGTGAGATGGGTGGTGACTAACTTTGAAATATAAATTAATATAAAATAAATGTGTTGTACAGTTTTATATATCTCCGTTGTATCTCTTCTTACCAATGGCTGTGGCTGACTCCCGGAGGGAACCTGCTTCAGCCCCCTGATAATTTTGGCTGCCTTTTAGCCCCTTTTCACACATTACATTCCTTCAGGTATAGTGGCCACAATAATACACAATACTTCGAGTGTGGGTTTGTTATAGAGTTGCGTACAGGCATTATTATATTAGCAGTTCCATTTTCAATCCCCTTCCTAATGATTCCAACCCATGGAATTTGCCTCTTCCTCTTTCTCCCCCTGACAGTAGTTCCCATCAAAATATGGGTGAAGTTAGATTATTTGTGCCCAATGCATCACTTTCACTTTTCATAAGATATGTGGACTTCAACTCCCAGAATTCCCCAGCCAGCATGGGTGGCTGGGGAATTCTGGGAGTTGAAGTCCACACATCTTAAAGTTGCTGAGGTTGAGAAACACTGATCTATATTGTTACTTCAGCAGCAAAACTCTGGAATAACGATCTTACTGTGTTTTCTTGCTTGCACACACAAACGCACACCTCTTACCTTCTCCTCCCTTGTTGGTTTCTTCCCCTTGCTCCAATCCTGTGTAACTAACACAGGAGCACAAAAGTTTCTGATGAATGGAGGGTAAGGAAATGTCATTGTTTAATGGTCTTGCCTTACACTTTCTAGGCAGTGGCTGCAGAAAAAAAAATAAAGGATACAAATTATATTAAAGGAAGAATAGAGCGCTGTAATTCTCCAGGCCAAGCAAAATCATTACGCAGGCCTGACCTGGAAAGACTTTGGGATGGTAACAAGTCATCCTCAAAAAGAAGCTGATCTCTGTATTATATTTTTTATGAGAGAGAAAATTAAGGCTAAGCATGTTATGAACCCAAGGTTCAGTTCTGAGCCTGGTCTCTGAAGACCCAAGTCCACCATCAATGTGGAATGCAGATATTTCACTGACAGAATTTTCTGGAAAAGATTCTGGCTGTATTTTGGAATAAGAGACTGCATTTGCAGTAAGAGACCGAAACTTCATTCTCTAACAGCTATGACTGGAATGGGGCTGAACAAAAGTCAGAGGAGGAAAATACGAGGAGGGTAGGAAGCGTATTTAAGAGAAAGCTTGCCTTTTTGATCTCACACGCATGACTGGGCTTCCACTGCTTAAGAATTACTTTGTTGAAAGTCTCTGTGATGGTTTCCTGGAACTCCTGAGTATCTGCAGCCTACAGAGAGACATATTCTCTAACAAAACGCACGTGCAGCTTTAATTCTCCATTGCGCTATTTCTGATAAACGTGAGATGACAGTTAAGGCTACACTTAAATTAGTAGTTTGGAAGATTGCTTAATTAAACTTAATTTCCTATTTTGCTGCCTGTGCATTGTCACTTCCCAGTCCGACATAGCCCTTCTCAACCAAGTTGTTAACCTAAGCAACCCACTGGTTTTAACGTTGGCTCTACCTGCAGACTATGGAGACACTTCCTTCGAAACTTGCCATCGGTGCTGCTTGAAACTATTCTGGAAATGGCCGTTGCCATGATGGGTAAAGAACGTGCCAGCTTCTGTTGCTCCTGTGGAGAACCAAGAGTACTGCCTAGTGCCTCCCAGCCCATGCCAACCTCAGAACAAACTACCATAGTGCCTCCCTTCTGCACTTGCAGTGGACAGTATAACAGGGCTACAGATTGCCTAATTTCTCCCGAAATAAACAGGACGTTGGGATCCTGCTTCAGAGCTCTTCCCCCTCCCTACTCCCCCGCCATGCCCACAACCACCTTGGCCTTTTGTCATTAGTTTCGCACTTGGGATGCTCTGTAGTGTTGCTCCAGGATCTCGTTAACCACTCCTTGGATAGCCCTTTTCACAGCCTGCTCACTGCAGAAGAGGATAGGTGAGAGATGAGACAGAATCGCTCGCCGGTCCCCTGCACCACAGAGAGAGAGAAGGTGACAAAAGATTAAAATGCAAGACTTCATACAAGAGGGATGAATGGGTGAGCATGTTTCTGGGCTATGAATACGGGAGAAGAATTCCCTTCAGTTCAGTATTTTGGAAATCATGGTTTTTATGGCTTAGCAATATGTGTGAGCCAGACATTTTTTTTTTTTTTATCTGCGCTCAGTCGTTACCGACTCTGCAGTGACTGCTTGGACGGGTCCTTGCAGTTTTCA